AAAAGTGGATATACAAGCCTTTTGTTTATTGCAAACATGCTATTTAAGATAATTATTCGTAATATCTACAAAAGTTGTTTAATTTACAAGTTTAAAAAGACTGCTAAGCATCCAACAGCGAAATATTTAATTATTTAGCACAGGTTATAAAAGAGCAGAATTGATTTTATTGTTTTCTTTAAACTAGAGGTTTATTTAAGATTTTTTAATTTGATTATTTAATTTGTTTATTCCTAATAACATCTATATATTTCATTTATTTTTACATTTTTTTTATGTATATAATTCTTGGCCTGTAAACGTCTTATTTTACGCATTTTTTCCACTTCATAAGCAACAAATTAGATCCTTCTTCTTTTACGTTTTTAAGAAAATTGGAGTCCTCAAGTACACCTACACTTAAATAAAATTTCTTTTGATATAATTAATCTGTGAATATATTTATACATAAACTTCTTTAAACATGACTCAGTCTGCCAAAAAGTTTTATTTTCCCCGAAGGTTTTGAACTTTATGTTCGTAGCTATCTACATATATATATGATGATGTGTGCTGCAGAAGATAATCCAGACACATTGCCAAAAATAAGAAAAGAATGTTCTGCTGGAACATTAGAATGTGATTTTAATGATACTTACTCGTCAAGTTCTTCTTCTGACCAATTGTGATCCATCATTGTAGGACTGATACGAGTACAAAAACCGAAAACGTAAAAGCACCGCTGCAGCCACCAAGAGTAAACTACACAAAATGTTAAGGGCGCGACTTGTTGGTTAGTGGAGTATCGACCGCAGTTGGAAGGCCGGAGCACTCTTTAAATCCTTGTTCGCAAGGGAAAGCCCAATTGCACATACGGAAAATGAAACGGTGGAAAACTGACAGAATTATGCGTACCTTCAGACAGTTCCTATAAATAATTTAAATGATTGTTTAAATCATGAAGAATGGTATTGGTTTCTTTTAGGTCTTTGTTATGAAATAGTTTTGTTATTATAATAATTGGAAATTCACCCTAACCATAATAAATATATTGGAAAACTTTGAGATAATTAAAAAATCGTAACTACTCTTGTGAGATAAACTAGAAGAATTTAGTAAACGCGCTGTTTGATGTGGAATTTCGAACAAGTAATAACAGAAAATTTCTTTCATTAATACCTTAAATTTCTCTAATAATTATAATAATTAATAACATTGTAAATTTGCTAAAATCTATAAAACCCTAGATGTCTTTTAAAATAGTAATTCGATAGGACACCTATCCAGACGTGAAGGGCTAGAGTTCAGAAAGGCAAATGTAGATCTAGATCCTAGAAATGCGAAGATTGACTCAAGATAGGAAGACGTGGAGATGCCTGTCGTACTAGTCCTCAAACTAAAGACTTATGATGAGCACACAAATTTTAAAAAACTTGTAGTTAAGTTGGAGCACGGCGTTGTACGGGTGCGAAACATGGACAGTAGGCGCGACCGAAAAGAAAAGGTTAGAAGCGTTTGAAATGTGGTGTTATAGGCGGATAATGAGGATATCGTGGGTAAAAAAGGTTAGAAATGAAAAGGTATTGGAAAGAATAGGAGAACAGAGGACTCTATGGAAGTCAATAAAAAATAGACGAGATAGGTTGGTAGGACACCTTCCCAGGCATGAAGGTCTAGTCGGAGACATATTAGAAGCAGAAACAGGAGTTAGGAGGGGTAGAGGTAGCCCTAGATTAGATTACTCTTCGCAAATAGTTAAGGATGTGGGCTGTTCTAGTTTTAGGGAAATGCGAAGTTTAGCTCAGGATAGGAAAGAGTGGAGGTACGTGTCCAACCAGTCTTAGGACTGACGACCTTATGATGATGATGAAGTTGGAGTTCATCGTCATGTATCAGGATGTCTTCTCAAGTTCCTGACAAAGAAATCATGCGAATATTATTTTATTTTACTTTCCTTTACGGTTTATAAATTCTGAATGTGTTTCATGAACATCACCGCAAATAAATAAAGTCCTTTCTAAATTTTGTTGCTCCTGATGATGATACAGTAAGATGAAATCTTTACGTTAAATATTTTTAATAAAATTGTATTTAAATAAAACTGTCATAGAATTTGTTTCAATATTTTAGTGTTTACTACCGCATATTGTTTACAATAATAATAATACGTATTATGTAAGTTTATTTTCAATATAGACTAAAATTTGCTTATGTTTAATTCATTAAATTAATGGCGGCCTTCGTTTTATGCTTCAATTGAAATATTCCGGAAACTCCAAGAGAAAGACGCTTTTTATACGCAAGTCTGATTCAATGTTCAGAATTCATTCATAACTCCGTACAGTTAAAGACAATGAAATAGTTCTGACAAAGGACAGTATCACAAATTAGTCTAGACCTTTTTGCAATTGAAAGTGTTGATTTTGTAAGAAAGGAAATGGAATTTTAATTAAAATGATTACTTTGGAAAATTGATATTCCAGTATTATTAATTCGAATTAAATGCTAAAAATAAACAACGCTTTTTATTATCATAAACAAATTTACATTCACATTACGATAAAAATTTTCCAACACGTATTTTGTTTTATTTTTCTGGTCTTGTCACATATCTGAAGTGAGTTAATTATTAAGAACTTAAAATAGCTTTTCAATTTATCTCAAAAGCATTTCTAGAAATATACACGTTCTCATTGTACATTTAAAATAATTGAAAATTCTCTAAAACTTTACAGAAACATTACATAACAACTAGAGGGAAGGTTTTAAGTTTTATAGTTTTTGAGCTTTGTTTGTTACATAATTTGGATCAAATTTCTAGAGATTCATATTATTCCAATGTCAAAAGAATCAATTAATTACTACAAGTAAAAGTATTAATAAAATAAAAGAACCAGGCATAATTCGAAAACCACAATTGTTTGAAACAATCACTTTTGAAAGTAAAAAGTTTTTGATTTAATAACAAGGAATTGATATAATAATCCACTGTTTTAATTAACAAAAGCCGTTTAAATGATGGATCATTTCAAAAACTGCTTCTTATCATTTATTGTTATCATGTAGACTAATGTAAAATTTCAAATTATTTTTACTTTATCTACTATTTAAACATTTATCCCAAAAAGTTTATTTGGTTTAAAGAGTTACTGGCTATATTTCTTTTTCTGGATATGGAAGTCGAAGAGATTGAAGGAAGACAATGTTTCCGAAATGCAATTTGAAAGTAATTCAATTTTTTAAATTGGCGTTAATTCTCCTTAATTTCATTGTGATGGAAGAAAACGCGCGTAATTATTCTCAAATATGTTGAGGACAACAACGCGAATCTAAAGTTTAACCTAATAAACGCCTTTAATTTTCTAACAGAATTTATCTGTGCTTCCGGATTAAGCCAGCCAACCGAGCCAAGGCTGACTAATCAACAATACACCATCAATTCACCTGTCTTTAAGGTCAGTCTTCCAACTATTTCCCCATCGCATTACTATTTACTTAAACCAACAAAAAATTGCAAACCGCGTATAAATACATTCACCCTGCTTTTACACCTCAGTTCGGATCGTTCTCTGCTATTGTGCTCATTGAAAATCAACATCTCAAAATGTTACGTCATATTCTTACCCTCACAACATTCTACCTGTTGGCTTTCACGACGGCCAGTGGTACAAATGACGACCAAGAAAACATGTACAGATTCAGGTATCAGCAAGCTGACTTGATGAAAACAGCTGAATCCAAAGCACCTGTTAGTGAATACGAGGTAGCAGAGGGATACATTCCAAACGAAGAATTACATCCAGAAGCCTCCCTTGCATACATGAACACAGGAGGAATGGGAGGTGCAGGATTTGGTGGAGGTTATTACCCTGGTGCATTTATGGGGGGCGCTGGTGGCATTGGAATGGGTGGTGCAGGAGGTATTGGAATGGGTGGTGCTGGAGGAATTGGAATGGGTGGCGTAGGTATGGGTGGAGGAGGAATTGGAATGGGAGGGGGTGGTATTGGTATCGGTTATCCTGGTCTAATGGGAGGCGGAGGATTCATGGGTGGATTTGGTGGAGAAGTCATAGACAAAAAAGCCTTCGTAGATGAAGGAAAAAAGGCTGGAGGAGGAACATTCGAAAAGGCTGGAGGCCAGGTCGGTCAAGAGTTCAAAGCAGGCCAAGGAGGCTACAACAAGGGAAAGGTATTCGTGAATAATGCGCAGTTGGCTGATGGATACGAAAAACAAAAAGCAGGAGAAAAGAAAGCCATTGAAGACGGAAAACAGTACTACGGCGGAAAAGCTTTTAATCAAGAAGGTAACTATAACACAATGCCAAAGTGCAAACTGACAATCACTCATTCTTGTTTTATAATAAAATAATAGGTAAGAACGCTGGAGAAAAGTCGGGCAAAGCAGGTCACAAAAAGGGTCACAAAATCAAAGGATTCAAAACCACTCATCACAAAGATGAGTCAGGTAAGACAGAAGAGTTTTATGACGAAGAACACGATGAAGGATCCGACTACTTCCACAAGAACGAAAAGGGCGCCTTCGGTGAGAATGCTGGAGCTGCTTTCAAAGGGGGTCACGACAATGGCGTGTTCAATTCTGGCGAGAAAGGGCATCAAGCTAATTACAAAAAAGAAGAACTACTCAATAAGGACAAAGCTGAACAGGGTCAATTTGGATCGTCGAAATTCGGAGGAGACCAGAAGGCATACGGACTTAATACTGGCATTGATCATCACTCTTTACATGAACTTCAGGAAGGCAATAAAATGTATAAGCACTTCCCCTACCACGTCCCTTTTCACAAAGGGGTAGGTAGAAAATAGGAGAACGACGAAACTCATGTTGAGTTTAGGACCATTGATTAATACTAAATACGATTCTGTATGTAAATTGTACCTATCTGTGTTTCTTAATTTATTCTCTACTTTAATAAAAGCCTCACTAATTTTTTACACTGAATTTTTATTACTTCTTTCCTTATTAATCAGTAACTTAAATATATAT